AAGTAGAGACAATACATACTGATATACACCTGAACATCAGCAGGAGAGGACTCTTTAAAGTAGAGACACTACATACTGATATACACCTGAACATCAGCAGGAGAGGACTCTTTAAAGTAGAGACACTACATTCTGATATACACCTGAACATCAGCAGGAGAGGACTCTTTAAAGTAGAGACACTACATACTGATATACACCTGAACATCAGCAGGAGAGGACTCTTTAAAGTAGAGACACTACATACTGATATACACCTGAACATCAGCAGGAGAGGACTCTTTAAAGTAGAGACACTACATACTGATATACACCTGAACATCAGCAGGAGAGGACTCTTTAAAGTAGAGACAATACACACTGATATACACCTGAACATCAGCAGGAGAGGACTCTTTTAAAGTAGAGACACTACATACTGATATACACCTGAACATCAGCAGGAGAGGACTCTTTAAAGTAGAGACACTACATACTGATATACACCTGAACATCAGCAGGAGAGGACTCTTTAAAGTAGAGACACTACATACTGATATACACCTGAACATCAGCAGGAGAGGACTCTTTAAAGTAGAGACACTACATACTGATATACACCTGAACATCAGCAGGAGATGACTCTTTAAAGTAGACACACTACATACTGATATACACCTGAACATCGGTAGGAGAGGACTCTTTAAAGTAGAGACACTACATACTGATATACACCTGAACATCAGCAGGAGAGGACTCTGTAAAACCAAAATGCTTTGCTCTATAGAAATATACTCAACTAATCAACTGAATTTTCATGTTATTTTTCGGTCAACAACCGGAACTGTAGGGTTTCTGAAAGGAGAACTGTAGTAACTAGGTCAAATCCAGAAAGATATGCATCTCAGCCACAAAACATCACTCGCTAAAAAGCATTCAGAAGTTGCCATCGTCACTTGGAGTCTAAACGCCTTTAAAGTTCTGTCAACAAGAAACATTCAACGACTGCTGCTATATAGCAAACATCAAGGCTTTATGTGAAGCCAACAGAAAAAAAGCCCATATTTCCACTTCCCAAAAACCTTCTTTCAATGAAGGTGAATTAGTCGTGTTCATTGAAAGAGATAACCTGAAGACAACAGATGCCAGATGTTGTGAGGTTAGAATAGAGAAGTATTGCTGGTTCCTGCTGGGGGAAAATGTTCATCTTATCAAAGATTCCCTTTGCACAATCATCTCGGTGCCACTTTCAGTTCATCACAGCGGTTTGATGTTGGCTGTCCCTGGATAGCTCGTATTGCCTGGCTTCATCTTGTGTAATCCATTTGCTGCTACACTGCCTGACAGTTAGCATCTCCGAAGCCGCTAGCATACAGATCTGTGAGCCCTTATACATAATACATCAAGTATAGGAGCCATAAGCTGCTTCGAGTTGTCTTGTAGAGATGTGAAGCCACAAAACAGCCATTGTGCGTTAGAAAAGATACACACACACACACACATCTTGTGAGGATGAAATAAGCTTTTTACTGCAGCAGAAGCAATATAAGCTACAACAGCTTAACAACATCTGACCTGCTTCTATGTGTGTGTTTGTGTGTGAGATTTATTTGGATCGTATGTTACTCTGAACTCTTTACAGTCACTTAAGTTGAGTACCCTGAAGTACGCATTACACCAACATACTGTTCTATTTCATACTTACTGACCGCCAGAGGCGATGCTTTAGCACTGGATATCTCGCGCATGCGTAGGTCGAATATCATATTAACAAAGTCACGTGTGACCTCGTATGACCCCGGAAGGTATAAATTCCGGTGTTGTCAACGAGTTCAGTTCTTTTTCATCTTCTCGCTGCGCAGGTTACTACTTTATGAGTAGAAGCCAAGCTAGCTTATTGAAAATTCTAGCTCATCGCCTGTAGCCTTGCGATCGTCTCGATCGGAGCTGCGGGCTAGAAACGCTCGCCCTCCAAAGGCTGCGACGAGCTGTCCGCCCTCCCAAGGGAGGGGACCGCGGTGTTCACCGCTCGGACCCCAGGAGCTCCGGACCGGTAAAGAGCGGACGCTCCTGCACGTCAGCCGGTGAGATCGCTACCATTTATCGCTGATTGTGCTATCTATTCTCAAGCTAATGAGATAATTGTGTACAAATTAGCCGAGGGCTCTCGCTAATTTGTTACTAACGCTAGTGAAGGCAGCGTCTCCGCCCCCCCTTTCACTGCATACATTTGGTGTTCTATCGTCCAGTTAAGCTGAGTGTTTTCGTTCAAGCTAACTGTTACTGCGCTAGTGAAGGGAGCGTCTCCGCCCCCCCTCTCACTACATTTGTTTCCTTACCTGTTCTATCGTCCAGTTAAGCTGAGTGTTTTCGTTCAAGCTAACTGTTACGGCGCTAGTGAAGAGAGTGTCTTCGCTCCCCTCTCACAGCTCACAATTAGTTCCTGTTCTATCCTCCAGTTAGCTGAGTGCTCTCGCTCAAAGCTAACTTGCTACAGTGCTAGTGAGGGAGTGTCTTCACACCCCTCTCACAGCTCACAATTAGTTCCTGTTCTATCCTCCAGTTAACTGAGTACTCTCGCTCAAAGCTAACTTGCTACAGCGCTAGTGAAGAGAGTGAATCCGCTCCCCTCTCCCTGCACACAGTTGGATGCCCGTTCCATCCTTCAGTTAGCAGAGTGCTCTCGCTTAGGCTAACTCGCTACGGCGCTAGTGGAGAGAGTATTCCGCTCTCCTCTCACGGCATAAACCCATTAACTGACTTCATTTTTTCTCACCCCAGTTAACAGAGTGCTCACGCTCAAGCTAACTACTATTGTGCTCACTCCCCTCCACTGCATATTTGTTTCCGGGCCCAGTTATTTACAGTCAGCTGAGTGCTCTAGCTATCGCTAGGTCAGTTGCTAAGGATAACAGACCGTTGCTAAGGAGAACAGAAAGTTGCTAAGGAGAACAGACCGTTTCTAAGGAGAAAAGACCATTGCTAAGGAGAACAGGCCGTTGCTAGGGAGAACAGACCGTTGCTAAGGAGAACAGAATGTTGCTATGGAGAACAACCCGTTGCTAAGAAGAACAGGCCGTTGCTAAGGAGAACAGGCCGTTGCTAAGGAGAACAGACCGTTGCAAAGGAGAACAGAATGTTGCTAAGGAGAACAGAATGTTGCTAAGGAGAACAAGCCGTTGCTAAGAAGAACAAGCCGTTGCTAAGGAGAACAGGCCATTGCTAAGGAGAACAGACTGTTGCTAAGGAGTACGCTCTGGCCTACAATATATGCAGCTCTTATTAAAGAATACAAATAAAGGATTTTGAGCTGCTATAAGTTTCAAATGTTTCAAAGATAAAATGGGAATCCACAGTAAATGGTAAATGGACTGTATTTAAATAGTGCTTTTTCCAGTCTTTACAACTCCTCGAAGCAATTTAACATATACACATCATAACTCATCCATTCACACTCTGTTGCCACCTGCTCAAGGAAGCTAACACTCTTTAACACCAAACCATAAGGAGCAACTAGGGGTTAAGTATGTTGCCCAAGAATACATCAACTTTGACTGTTGCTGGGTGTTCGAAAGATAACTTCACTGCCTCTCAGCCACTAGAGAAACACAATCTTTGCAGAGAGAGTTGAGCTTAAGACATCTTTAATGAAGAGTTTAATTTATAGAATAATTTGAAGCTGCAGTTTAGGGACCAGAGGCTCGGGGAAGAGAGTTGGGAGGCTGACAGAAACACAGAAAAAGCTCAGAAATGTCGCCTAAAAGAAATCAATGTTATAAGAGAAAACTAAGCAAGGCCAAATTAGGGTGAGACTGCTTTCAAAAAACTTTTAAAAATCGACTGCTGGGGCGAAACTGGAGCTAATTATTTCAAGAGTGAGCCTCCGGACAACATGAAACATGGGAACGATACACAAAGCCTTCAGCCAGATTTATCTGATAATGAAATGACCCATTTCAGTTCAAATTGGATCCCCAGACAAGCAAGAGTTTTTTTTTTTTTCTGTGAAAGCCGAGGTCATGCATCCTTCAGCTGCAGCCTGTAGGGTCTCTTTCCAAAACATGATTATTAATCCATAAACAAGAGGAGAGTTAAACCCAATGCAAAGAGTTGTGGACTGTAGAGAGAGAAACAACGCTATACCTGAGAATTGTTAAATATGTCATATTTTAAATGCCATACTTTGAGCAACAACGGTAAAAACACAGCAGAACAAAAGCCTCCTACGCACCTTCTGCCACCAACACTGAAATATGAATAAAAAAGGAGGATGGGGAAAGGGTGACATTATGTAAGGGCTGTGACTAAAAAAATAAAGAAAAGGGAAAACAATTTTGGTTTCTAACAGTAGGCTGAAGAGCTGTCTGCACTCAGACTACTGGCAGGGAATAATAATCACCAGAAACTACAAAAAAAACATCTCAAAAGATGTTTTCCTAACTCCTCAGAAACAAGCTACACTGGCTACAAATTGATTATTTGTCTAAAAACAGACAGACATAAAAAGTTGTGTCTCTTGTTGGCAGATAAATAAATATGATTCAAAACAACCCAAATTCCTAAGGTTAGTAAGGTTTTTTGTTGGTTGTCTTTCCTTGTTACACAGCTTAGTTGAATACTTGATTCTGATTGGTCAATTTGGACCTTCCAGAGGTCTGCTATTTTTTGCTAACAGACAGCAGAAGAAGACGGACAGGAAGTAAACACTAAAGGGAACACGGTATGACCTCTGCAGTGTTTAAAAACTGGTTAATGGAAAAGAAAATGGGACCAATTACAACAGAACTGGCCAGTTAACCAATTTTCAGACCATTTACATGCACAACAAAACGATATAAACACACTACAGGAAAGAGGAAACGTCCAGAAGCAGAATAGGGCCTCTTAAATATTAGAACGGCATAGAAATAGATGGGCCTTTTTCCAGGAAAAAAAAATGAATACTCACTAGTGTGGCTTAAAACACATGATTATACAAAACAGATTCTACATGAGTTTCTTATGATTGCCCCCCGTCTCACCTGCACAGTCCTGGGTCTGCCACTCCAGACACTGTCCGTAGGGGAAGGAGACAGTGTAGGCGGTGGAGTCGATGCAGCGCTGTGTGCTGCTGCACCACATGCACTCCATGGTCTGGCTGGTGCAGTTACTGCAGCTGGAGCGCAGAAAGCAGGACGTCCTGCAGGGGCGGGAGGTCTGAGTCTGAGGAGACCCTGAGAGAGAGAGAGAAGGAGAGAGAAACACAAGTTAACATAACCTTTAAAGGTCTCCTATCATAAAAATGCACTTTTGTATGTCTTTTATACATAAATACATGTCCCCGGTGTGTCAGGGAACTCAAAAAGTGTCAGAAAATAAAACCCTCTCTCTTTTCCTCCGTACCCACATCTCTAAAAACTGAGCTGATCAAGATTTGCGTCCGATATGACGTAATATCTAAAATGTGGGCGACATGTTTTGTATATTTGTATATATCTGAGACCTAACATATATGCCTAAAAATAGTATAATAGGAGACCTTTAACCTCCTCACCCAGTGCTCTGAACCATTTTATCCAACCACACCCTCGTTCTCTCCTTTATCGTCTTTCAGTCTCACCTGCAGGTTTCTCACAGATCAGTCCGTCAGTGGGAGCAGTGCAGGGATTGGCTCTCAGGCCAGGCCCCGCCTCCCTCTCCAGGTACGCACAGAAACCCGAGTCGCTGGGTTCTCCAGGTAACCATCGCAGGCTGGTGTTAGTGAAGGGAGAGGAGTCCTCCCAGCCCCAGTACGACACGTTGATCTTCCTCAAGCCCACCCAGGGAGATAAGGTCTGCAGGGAGTACACACATCCTTTACTCAGATACTCGTGTTTCAAAATACTCTGGTGAAAGTAGAAGTACTGACTAAACTTCTTTACTCAAGTAAAAGTAAAGAGGGCTTTGAAATGTACTTCAGTAAAAAGTACCCATAACTAGCAGCTGTTTTAAAGAGTACCTGACCTCCCTTTATATTAATAGAACAATAATGTCATTGTTAGCTAATGAATGTTTCCATGCTGAACAACGGCAACATGACAACGTTTTCATTGGTCCCTCTTCTTTAGAGAAGACCAGGAAATGATGGATACACGGATCGTGTTCAAATCAATAGGCACGCAATGACTCTAAATAATAATGATCACGCCACCAAACACACATTCAAACTAAAGGAACCAGCCTGTTTGGGAAATGTGAGAAGTAGAAAGTACAGGTATTTGGGTTCAACATGTAAGAAGTAGAAAGTACAGGTATTTGTGTTCAACATGTAAGAAGTAGAAAGTACAGGTATCTGTGTTCAACATGTAAGAAGTAGAAAGTACAGGTATGTGGGTTCAAAATGTAAGAAGTAGAAAGTACAGGTATCTGTGTTCAAAATGTAAGAAGTAGAAAGTACAGGTATTTGTGTTCAACATGTAAGAAGTAGAAAGTACAGGTATTTGGGTTCAACATGTAAGAAGTAGAAAGTACAGGTATTTGTGTTCAACATGTAAAAAGTAGAAAGTACAGGTATTTGGGTTCAACATGTAAAAAGTAGAAAGTACAGGTATTTGGGTTCAACATGTAAGAAGTAGAAAGTACAGGTATTTGTGTTCAAAATGTAAGAAGTAGAAAGTACAGGTATTTGTGTTCAAAATGTAAGAAGTAGAAAGTACAGGTATTTGGGTTCAACATGTAAGAAGTAGAAAGTACAGGTATTTGTGTTCAACATGTAAGAAGTAGAAAGTACAGGTATTTGTGTTCAAAATGTAAGAAGTAGAAAGTACAGGTATTTGTGTTCAACATGTAAGAAGTAGAAAGTACAGGTATTTGTGTTCAACATGTAAGAAGTAGAAAGTACAGGTATTTGTGTTCAACATGTAAGAAGTAGAAAGTACTGTACAGGTATTTGTGTACCGGAGAAATGTACTTAAGTACAGTAACAAAGTATTTGTACTCCACTACTTCCCACCTCTGAAAATTAGATAGCATGAGATTAGTTTTCTAAGCTAACGAAGGAATGCTTGTCTTTTTTATATTTAATTGTCATTTGATTGAGCCAAACACTCCGGAAAACATCTGGAAAGTAAAGTCTGAATGCTTGAAATAAAGTGTGAGAGGAACGAAACCACAACGTAAAATAAACTGGTTGAGAGTTTGCCAAGACGCATGAAAGCTGTGTTATCCAAAAAAATTGCTTTCTGAAATCTAACCGAGAGAAAACATTGATTTTGTGTTGTTTAAAAACAACAATAAACTTGTTTTCCTTTGGTTTGAGCTATAAAAATCATGAGCATCTATTTTTGTTTTGTTTGTAAAATAAATTAAAAGGAACTATTTCTGTATAACCCTGATTGTATACATGTACACAGCCAGTGTTTTAAAGGGGACATATCATGCAAAATGCACTTTTTGATGTCTTTTATACATAAATATGTGTCCCCGGTGTGTCGGGGAACTCACGCAGCGTCAGAAAATAAAACCCTCTCTCTTTTCCTCCGTACCCAAATCTCTAAAAACGGGGGAACAACGGAGCTGATCCAGATTTGCGTCCGATATGACGTAATATCTGAAATGTGGACCCACGGCCCTATCAGAAAGTTGCTATCAGAAACAATGCCCGACTGTTTTGGACGTAATATGGTCGGTGTTTACATTAGCATCGCTAACACTCAGAGCTAACCTGTACTGGAGAGCATGTGTGTGAAGAAGCAGGAAATAAAAAGGAACTCACCTTGTGGTATAACCGGCAAGAGAGAAAGCCTTTGAGCTCCATACTGTTTCAGAGAGAATCCTTGATAATCCATGATATGGCGTTTCATCACGGCAGTATTTAGTTTAGACAGTAGCTGCCGGTTCCCCCATGAGCTCAGACCCCTCCTTTTTAAAGCTTTATACCCCAAATCAGCACTTTTGAAACAGGAAGTGAAATAGAGGGATATGAGGCATGGCTAGAATGGGTGATCTGTTTGGTATTTTGAGCAAAACACTTCATATACATGTTTTTCATATATTTTTGATATATCTGAGACCTATGCTATTGCCTAAAAATAGCATGATAGGTGACCTTTAAAACTGGGGGAAAAACAAAATAAAAAATCAATTGTGTGAGCAAAAAAAGAGCGTATTTACTGTAAAGGGGCCTTATTCTGCTCATTTTCAGGTTCATATTAGAATTCTGTGACATGTTTCCATGCTTTAATGTTCAAAAAGCTCTTTATTTTTCTCTTTTCACGCATCCCTCGCAAGGATTTTAGCCTTTGCAGACCGTTAACATGCACCAACACCAATAGAACACACTACAGGGAGGGAAAAGGGCCTCTTTAAGAAGTATTATCCCTTTCAAAAAATGAGAAGTCCCACAGCTGGTAACTGTGTACAACATACATGATGTTTGACATGAAAGCAGATCCTATATCCAACCTTCTGTAATTGTTATAAAAGCAGAAACTCCTCAGACTCACAGCGATACCTAATTCAGGAAAGAGATCTCCAAAAGGGACTACAATTATAGAAGCTGAGTGAAGTGGAGCTTAGTTTGCATTCATTTGCTGAGAAAACAAGTGTGATTTGTTTAATAAATGCCCATGACGATATGCAAAGATGTTTGATAGAAATCTAAAAGTGATTAGTGATTTCATAAAAACATGCAAACAGCCTAAACTCTGTGTGGTGTCTGTATTTGTATGCATACACTGAAATGCACTCGGGTGGAAATCCTATGCGATCTCGGTGGTAACTCGTTGATTTTGCAGGAAAATCTAATGTTGATTTTAACAAAAAAAAAGTGGCATGACAACACAAGAGACTCAGAATCATCATCATTACAAAAGAGCATCAAAAGGTACATTCAAAACCAGCACTTTTCTTTAAAGAAACTGTTTGCTTTTCTGTTCCTCTGTGTTTTCACATCTCTCCTGACACTGCACATTGATCAAAAAGTCAGTCTGCGAGTCGTCAAAACATGTCAGCGTATCAAATGACATTCAGACCACACAGATTACAAGTTGACAGCTCAATCTGTTTGAGAGGCGACTGATCTGGTAAATGGCTCAATGAATAAAGAATCACACATCCTGTCACTCTGTTTTTCACACATCTGGGTTTACTGAGATTAAAAATTGATGATGAAGCCGATGGTGGGATAAGAAGGATGAGTTCAGTTGGGTTTCTTATACCTTGAACTACGGTGGCAGACGGATGCAAACGTGCTACAAGACCCAAAACACGAACATTAGGAGAAACTCGCTGCAGCTTCAGAAACAACGCAAATATAAAAACACATTTAGCAAACATTCAGCAACTTGAGGAAACATGCGCAGCGTTTACTAAAAGCTGTAAATACATAACGCTGCAAGAAGCTCAAAACACAACGGAGATCAGGGGACACTAAAGAGTGACGCACACAGCTGGGAGACCAGGGGACACTAAAGAGTGACGCACACAGCTGGGAGACCAGGGGACACTAAAGAGTGACGCACACAGCTGGGAGACCAGGGGACACTAAAGAGTGACGCACACAGCTGGGAGACCAGGGGACACTAAAGAGTGACGCACACAGCTGGAGACCAGGGGACACTAAAGAGTGACGCACACAGCTGGTAGACCCAGGGGACACTAAAGAGTGACGCACACAGCTGGGACAGCTTGGTGACGTTTAGGATTATAAAGCTGAACAACTGTCTATCATAAATGACCCCTAGCAAAGCCTATAAATAGCTAACACGTGTTTATAACCACAGAGTATCCCGAGTGTTTTGTCCACAGACACCGTTAGCGTGCAGTGTCACATTTATTTTATTTACATTTTGCATTGCACCACCTACCTTGTCTTGCAGCTGGTATTTTTGCAGCTCATCCAGAACAAAATGGACTTGTTTGTCTGTGAGCAGAGAGGCGATGTTTCCTCCCAGGTTTTTGCAGTAGTGCTGGGCGTTATCGTAGCTCTCGCTGCTGGAGTTGATCCTCAGACAGACTTCCCCGACATGATGCCAGCCCTCCCCACACAGCTGGCCTGAAACACAACAACACACACATACAGTTTATCTCTGGTAGCAACAACTCTTAGTCATCAGAGCCTTAAAACACTAGATTATATAGATCCAGCCTGCTAGTAACTCAACTTTGATAGCTAGATACAACCCAGTCTCACGGCATTTCGTGTTAAATTAATTTAATCTATTGATTCGTGTTCACCAACACGATTTTCACCTTTTTTTCGTGTCACACAGAACGATTTTAAATGCAATGTATTTCTATTGGTAGTATGTTTCGTGCCTGCAACACGTCTTTTTGTCCGGTCGGGTCTTGGAAGACCAGAAGCTGTGTGGTTCATAAAAACATGTTCTTACTCAATATCTTACCCTAAGCCTAACCCTATCCCTTTTATTTTAAATTGTATAATGTCTGAGTTTTGTTGCCGTCAGTGAGGAAAAGAAATGGCTCAGAGCCTCAGAATACTGACATCTGTATTTTATGTCATCTTTTTTTCCTTCTAATTAGTTATTATTTGGTGCAGGCACGAAACATACTACCAATAGAAATACATTGCTTCTAAAATCGTTCTGTGTCAGAATACTGAAATCTGTATTTTTTTAAATGTCTTTTTCCTTCTAATTTGTTATTATTTACATTGCTTTTAAAATCGTTCTGTGTGACACGAAAAAAATGGCGAAATCGTGTTGGTGAACACGAACCAATAGATTAATTTCGTGACTATAACACGAAATGCCGTGAGACTGTGTTGCTAGATAATACATAATTGGCTTGTAATGGTGAGTATGCTAACATGCTAATGTTTGGTTGATATTGTATCATACTAATGTTTAGCTTTGGCTTGGTTAGCAATATACAACCCAGTCTCACGGCATTTCTTGTTATTAGTCACGAAATTAATTTAATCTATTGATTCGTGTTCACCAACACGATTTTCACCTTTTTGTCGTGTTACACAGAACGATTTTAAATGCAATGTATTTCTATTGGTAGTATGTTTCGTGCCTGCAACACGTCTTTTTGTCCGGTCGGGTCTTGGAAGACCAGAAGCTGTGTGGTTCATAAAAACATGTTCTTACTCAATATCTTACCCTAAGCCTGACCCTATCCCTTTTATTTTAAATTGTATAATGTCTGAGTTTTTTTGCCATCAGTGAGGAAAAGAAATGGCTCAGAGCCTCAGAATACTGACATCTGTATTTTATGTCATCTTTTTTTCCTTCTAATTTGTTATTATTTGGTGCAGGCACGAAACATACTACCAATATAAATACATTGCTTCTAAAATCGTTCTGTGTCAGAATACTTAAATCTGTATTTGTTTAAATGTCTTTTTCCTTCTAATTTGTTATTATTTACATTGCTTTTAAAATCGTTCTGTGTGACACGAAGAAAATGGCGAAATCGTGTTGGTGAACACGAACCAATAGATTAATTTCGTGACTATAACACGAAATGCCGTGAGACTGTGTTGGTTTAGCTTAAGCTACTAGGTAGAGTATGAGTATGCTAACATGCACATTTGTGGCTTATAATGTTTAGAATACATCAATATCATATCTACAATTAGCTGACTTAAAGTGCTCACAAGCATATGTAACATTTATCACATTTTAGAGTAAATAATCAGAAATGCAAGAAAAACAAGGAAGCTTAAAGACAACACATTTACACTTAGAGAGTAAGACTAACTCTGTAAAAAGGAGTTAAGAGCAGATTGATCAGACAGTAGGAGGAGGGGTATCATAATGACCAAAATGCTAATAGTTAGCATTTGTAACAGTTATCAAGTTTTAGATCAAGTGAGGAGTAAATAATCAGAAATGCAAGAAAAACCAAGAGGCGCAAAGACAACAAATGCATCCTGAGAGAGTACAGACTAACTCTGGAAATAACATTCCAAAATGTAGCATGTGTAAAGTGAGAAATAAATAACCAGAAATGCCAGGAAAATACAGAAGCCAATAAAGTCAAAACATTACAGATTACAGGCCGACTCTGGCAAAAAGAGCAGACAGCAGAAGGGTTGTTTACTTGGTTGAGGTAAACCAGACTTCATTAATCAACGTGAAGGCAGACAGAAGCAGCAACTAAATCCAAAACTGCAATCGTGGGAAGGCAGTTCGTTTTCAACAAGAGGTTTCAGGCTCTTTAAACATCCCTGATTTAAACTGAGAGTAATGAGGACAGATAGGTGGACAGTAAGGTCATGTGACAAAGGTAGAAAGCTCACTGAGAGCAAGTAGTGGAGAAGGTGGGAATGAAAATTGAAGTGGATGTAATCGCAAAAAAAAAACTGTGTAGCCAGAATCAACAGACGATTGAAGAGCTTTAAAACAAAATACTTGATTTTGGTTAATAAAAAACACATGCAACTGATTTTTAAAGGCTGATGTAATTTTGATTTATGCTGTTGCTTCAGATAAGCACACCACATTCTTGCTTTGTACTGAACTGAGTCATCAGTCAGACACATCATTCCCAGGACTTATAAACAACGTCACAGATGGGATAAAGAAAAGTGAATGTCTGTGGTGATTGAAGAGTTTAAACAGAGGCTGAGAAACTCATCCATAAAAAGGCATACAGTCATTCTTATAAGGGTCAGGTAGTTGCATTTTGGGAAGTTTATTATACCGTAGCAGCCTTTGAAATAGCCAGGATGAGAAGGAAAGGAAAAGCCTGTTTATTTTGGACTGATTATATTCACAGGCCCTATAATGGCTTCCATCATCAATCCTTTCATGCTACAGGAAAGAAAATACCTGCTTTCTTTAAACCCCCCCCCCCTAAACAATAGCAATGGGCCGTAATCATCCAAAAAAACGAGACAGAAAAATGGGTAAAAAAGGCGGAGTATACAAAATACATAGATGGATAAGGTTACAGTCTTTGTGTAAAAGCAGAGATAAACATGTCAGGCAATTTAGCGTAATTAGTCATAACACAGTGTGTAAAGAAAAGGCCACGGTGGTGGAGCGATAGTTTCCATTAACAAAGTTCATCTTAGCCCACACTGCTATGTAGCTTCACAGAAAATAATGAAGATATATTTTTGTAGCCTTGTCACACTAATGGACTCAGAAAAAGGCGAACAATGGCTAATTTCCTCATTGTGGCCAGTGAACCTTTTTAAAAGGCCACGTCCTAAATGGCCCTATTACGTACCATTCAAACAGGATGCCAGTCATTAAACTTAAAAGAAAGATTAAATAAATATGCATGCTAGAACCAAAGTAAAGTTGGGCAAGTTTCAACTTCAAGTAAATCTTGTCTGATCTGCAACACACATTTTATTTTACTCTACAACACCAAAGAGTTTTAAAGGTCATGCTATTTTTAGGCAATAGCATAGGTCTCAGATATATAAAAAAATATAAAAAACATGTCTATGAAGGGTTTGGGTATAAACAGGTCTCTCTTGAGAATAAGACCCTGTCTCTCAATGAGATTTTCACCTGTATAAATAAAGGCTAAAATATAAAAAAAAAAAAAAAAATATATATATATATATATATATATATATATAAAGCTTTTTATTTAAACTGAAAAGAAAAAAGAAAAAAAATAGGGGGCGGAGCTTATGCCGGCTCATGCGGGGACCTGGCAGATACTCTCTAAAATGCTGCGGTGATGAAACGCAAGGATTATTAGATCAAGGATTATTTCTGAAACAGTATGGAGCTCAAAGGCTTTCTCTCTTGCCGGTTATACCACAAGGTGAGTTCCTTTTTATTTCCTGCTTCTTCACACACATGCTCTCCAGTACAGGTTAGCTCTGAGTGTTAGCGATGCTAATGTAAACACCGACCATATTACGTCCAAAACAGTGGGGCATTGTTTCTGATAGTGCTGTGGGTCCGCCGCCGATTTGACGTCATATCGGCGGCAAATCTGGATCAGCTCCGTTGTAGCCCCGTTTTTAAAAGATTTGGGTACGGAGGAAAAGAGAGAGGGTTTTATTTTCTGATGCTGCGTGAGTTCCCTGACACACCGGGGACACATATGTATGTATAAAAGACATCAAAAAGTGCATTTTGCATGATAGGTCCCCTTTAAACAAAAAGAGAGTTGTCTATGGATTTCCAACTTTTAACAGGAAAGACATTGTTAGTTAAATTAAAAAAGGTTAAAGAATGTTTTAAAGACTTTCCTTTAATGTGCCACCAGCCCAAAGTAAGTGTACAAAGTATAGACATTTAAAGAATGTTGTTAC